CAAGTGAACGTCACTTTATTGTGCCATCCAAAAGAGGCACAAAAAATCACTTTCACAGACTTTTAAATGAACTGTTCCCTCCTGGTGGAATGAGCTGCCCAACTCAGTCCATCTTCAAAAATCGGCTAAAAACACATCTCTTCCATCTTTATTTGACCCTCTAACTCTAGCACTCTCTACTCTAATTCTATTATTTTAAAAAAACTTGCCCCTTTTAGACTTGCACTCTATTCATTTATTAACTGCTTGTTTTTCTTTAAAAAAACACTAGCTTCTCTAATCTTTTTGTATTCTATCTGTTTTGTTTTCTTTTTATTTATTATACAATTAACAAAAGCAAAAAAAGTGACGTGACATGACGTGTGGCCAAGTGGCCATCTGTTTTCTTTTTATTTATTATATAATAAAAAAAAAAAAACCTTGCGTTAAGCTAACTGAGACTTGCATCAGAGAGCACTTGCATATCATTGCTCTCTTGTTGTTTTTGATTGCTTCCATTGTCCTCAGGGGCAACATATATTGATAATAGGAGAGGGCCTAAGACAGATCCTTGCGGCACTCCATACTTTACTGGCGTTAATTAAGGTGATTCCCCATTTAAATAAACAAAGTGATAACGGTCGAACAGATAGGATCTCAACCATCTTAAAGCCTGCCCTTGAATACCCGTGTAGTTTTGTAATCGATCTATGGGTATGTCATGATCTATAGTGTCGAACGCAGCACTAAGATCAAGTAAAACTAGCAATGAGATGCAGCCTTGGTCTGACACAAGAAGCAAATCATTTGTAATTTTAACAAGTGAAGTTTGTGCTATGATGGGGCCTGAAACCTGACTGAAATTCTTCATAGATATAATTTGCTTTGAAGGAAGGAGCACAATTAAACAGACACAACTTTTTCTAAAATTTTAGACATAAAGATTTGAAATGGGTCTGTAATTTGTCAGTTCAATAGGATCTAGTTGTGGTTTCTTAATAAGAGGCTTAATAACCGCCAGCTTGAAGGGTTTTGGTGTCATGAATCCTGTCCATGGACTTCTGTTCAATCACCACCAGAGGTCACCCTTCCATTACATTGACTCTCGCACTACACAAACTGTTGCATGTCATCCCGGACTACATAACCCATCATCCATTACACTGATTGCACACAGCTGTAACCAATCACACATTCACTATATAACACTCACTCAAACAACCATTCACTGCTGAGTATTGTAAGCGCACATCACTCACCTAGCGATAGCTACTTTACGGAGCCAGTTCCCTGTTCTTGTTTAAGTATTTAGTTCTAATTTCCATAGTCTAGTCATAGTCTTGTCTTGGCTGCTTTCCCGTGTTACCTGATTATTGCCTGTTTATCTTGAGTTAACCCTTTGCCTGCTGTTTCGGACTGTGTTTGCACCTTGCCTGGACTCTAGCTCGTGTAATTGGATAACCCCTCATGTCAAGCACTCTGGATATTGTTAGCCGCTTATCGACCACGTCCGTTTTGGATTACTCTGCTGTCTTGCCCTCAATATACCTGTTTCCAATGTTTGATTTATGCCTGTTTCTGACCACGTCTCCAGAATAAAGCTTTGCACATAGATCCGCACATCTCACGTCTCGACAGCCCCGTAACATTTGGGATGTGACCTAAAGACAACGACGAGTTAATATTGAGAAGCGGTTCTTCTGCTACAGGTAACAACTCTTTCAGTAATTTAGTGGGTACAGGGTCTTGTAAACATGTTGTTGGTTTAGATGCAGTGATAAGTTTATTTAGCTCTTCCAGTCCTGTAGTTGTAAAGCACTGCAGTTTTTCTTTGGGTGCAATAAATTAAGCTGAATTACAAGACGCTGTAGATTCTACATGCACTACTAAACTGTGAGGGAATATTTAGTTCGGGTGATATATTGTCTAGTGTTAGTATTAAATAATATGTTGTTTGTTCAAGGAGGGGAAAACGCTTCTCTTTCTGTTATCTAACTCCAGTATTGTTAAATGTAATGGCACTGTCTATTGCACTTCAAATGATCGCTTGTAAATATTGTTTGAATTTTAATTAAATACATTTCTCACACCAGTATTTTGTATTTTAAATTAAATACATTTGAGAAGAACGTATTTCTAATTTGTTAAAAACTTTTTGATGTATTTGTGTCCATCTCTGCATAGTGTAGATAGTTTGTTCAGCTTTTTACTTCTGCTGATTGTATTTAGGCTTCAATATTCATAAAATCTGTGTTAATTTGTGAATATGATCCTGATAGACAAAATATGTACGAATCATAAACTTGTGTTGGTCACAGAGCTTATTTTCTGCAGATATCCAAAAGCCAAATAATTTTTTTTTTTTAGGGATGCTAAAGTCTGGGTTGCCATCAGTGGTGGAAAGAGTACTGAAAAAATATACTCAAGTAAAAGTACTATTACCTTCCAAAAAATGTAGTGTGAGTAGAGTAAAAGTACTTGTCCAAAAAACTACTTAAGTAAGAGTAAAAGAGTAGCCTATTTAAAAGTACTCATGAGTATTGAGTAGTGAGTACTGAGCTGTGGATTCTACCCCCTCATAATAAACGCTGTACACCGCAATTTATACATTTTAAAAACGTTGTACATTCTGTAATTCACATTATCTTGTTTGTCATAAAGAATGAAGAATATCTATCATCCAGCAGTTTTAATTTTGACTGCCAACTCTTTAAAATACATCAAAACAGAACGGAAACAGTATTCAGTTGAAGAAAAGATGAAAGTTATTCTCAGTACAATCATCCCCATTTAAATCATAAAGTTTGAAAAAATAGATTTAAAATCATGTGTAAGGCCACTGAGACAGCATATGCTGTTGTTGCACATAAAATATTAATGTTTAGAACAGTGCAAATACAAACACCATTAGAAACTCATAGTACGGTTAACGCACCATGATATGGGTTAAAATGAGAGCCCATTTCTCTCCAAAACAGTGCCAGATTTAGCGTTTTGCAATAAAGAAATAAAAATAACTAAACTTGAT